CCAAGTTTAAAGAAAACTAAAAGTTGTCAATTAGAAGGGAAGGCTGAGTTATTAGAGGAAAGTACCATGATAACAAAAGTGACTAACGAAAGCCAACAAAAATGACGAAAAGAAAATTGTAAGGAGCCACAGAACTTGGAAAAGAAGTCACACTTTAAGAGCATAAAAAGCAGAGAGGCCCAATCATTTAACATAGTCAAAAACAGACCTATTCTGGCAGTGATGCCAGAAACAGTATCACTACATAAACTCTGTCAGGCAAAGATGACCCTAAATCAAGGAAAAAAGACGAAATTATACTTGAGTACAAATATACCTGGATGACAGCAGAGTCACTTTCAGAAACCACTGACATTAGCTGAAATAAAGGTGTTGGTACTCAAAGGAAAAAACAAAGACTTCACGGAATACTTCGATTAGTCAGCAGCTTACTCACTTACAAGCAAAAATTTTACACTTAGGACAGTTACCTTCCTCCTCCCATTAATCTTTGTGCCAAACTCCTGGGGCCAGTCTGGCTCTTGTACGTCACAGCCTTTTCCCATGAACTGAGAAGCCGCACCAAGCATGAGATTTCCCCAGTGACTTCTGACTGTAACATGCCTAACCACATTCAAAACCACCCTCCATGAACTGTTTCTCTGCAAATTATCCAAATCCTCTATTTAATGTCAAAGTGTAGCTGTAGTTTTATTTCCCCAGTTTGTACATGGCAGCTATCCTTCACAGACACACTAAGAAAATGTCCTTTAAAACAATGAACATGGAAGTATTTCATTCAATAAGCAGAACAGGTTACTTACCTATAATGCTGATTCTTCAACAGATAAAACCAAATAATCATGATTACAATTACAGAGCTCAAGTTTATGGTAATGAATTCTGAAAACTGAGTATCCAAGGTCTGCTCCATTAGAGTTCTCAACCTAGAAACCCCAAAAGTCCATGGAATAAATCCTTACTGGATGAGGTAATCAAGTGTAGTTCACATTATCAATTCGAAGACAGAAGTTCTAATTGCATTTCTAGGCATAACGCATCATACTTCAAATAAATAACCTAAGAACTGTAATTTTGAGTTAGGAAATGGGGACTGGACATTGCCACCTATACTGTATTTCCCAGTTGTTGTGGGTGTCAAATGAGAAACTAGATAAAGCTGCTTTGCAAATTATGAATCACGGTACAAATGTAAAGTCGTTTTATCCAGGGCAGGATGACAACTCTATTCCTTCCAAGTAAAATCCAGCCCTAGTCCTGGAGTTTTCTGCCCCCTTGAAAGAAATTACCTTGACAAACAGTATAGGAAGTAGTGAATCTAGAAGAACTGATAAAGATTTTCCTACATAGCTTCTGAAATTGATGAAGTATCAAGTGATTCATCATAAGCACTGTACAACAGAA